TTTTAGTACCAAAATTTAACGTTTTTCAAAAACTAATGTGAGATTCGTAATCAGCGTCGAAAACTGCATCTAGTGGTATGCTCCTATCAGTTCTACTCTAAAATAATTTTTTCAAAAACTTGATCAGCGAAGTCTCGAGTTACGTGGACAAGCCGCTTGAAGATCGAAATCACATATTCTTCATTTTTCAGTTCACAAGCAATAGGTTCTGATAAGCAATAGGTTTACCCCTTATATAAAGAAGTTAAGCCTTTTTTCTAGCTTTTGTTTACCAAAAATGTAATCAAGCTTTTCTCAAAAAGTTCAATTTTTTTTGGCGCTTTTTCAAAATTAAAAATAACCACGAGGATTTACACCTCTTTTCTAACGTTTTCTACATTTCTATAGGTTCTCGGACGAAAAAGACACCGAAACATGCGGTTTTTTATGTATCTCGCAAATCACGAAAGTTAAACGGTTTACGTGAACAGTAGTGTACGAGCTAAAGATAAACGTAAACCTGCCTGCTTTCTCTATTTCCTCTAGAAATTGAAAAGTTTTTCATACCACATTCCCTGACTACGCGTTGTCTTATTCAACAGGTATCAAGGACATCGAAATAACTGGCATTGTCATCTGTGTGTTAGGTTTGAACCATATTGTAATGAAGGAAAAGCGAAGGTAAGGTTTATCTTGGTGTCTCAGCATGTTTTATAGCGAAACTTTTTAATGTTTTAAATAACTTCGAAGAACAAAACGGAATAGTTAGAATGAATTGAATAATGCCTAGAACTAGAGCTAAGGAGGAGAGCGTTTGTGTATCTGTACAAAATAAACTCATAACTCGATAAGCTGATAAAATCTAAAGATGAGAAAATTGCTTTCTTGAGTTTTATCAGGACTAATGTTATTTCGGTTTACCAAAAGAAATTATTAAAAAAATTTAGCTTGCATTGAAAATCTTTCAGCACATGTGTACGTTTTGATAAAGAGATTAATTTTTCTCAGTTCTTTCACATATTTGATCAATATTTTTCGTTATTCTATTAAAAAAAGGTCAATCCTAAGTATGTGCAAGAAGCGACCAATCTTCGTCAGAAAACTATTGGCAAATATCAGAAATATCAACGTGACTGTATCGATAAAGCAGGAAAACTACAGGATATAAAAGTTGATCTGTTACAACTTGAGTCTACTGAATTTGGTCTTCGATTTATGGTACGTGAACCGCGTATTGCTATCTGCAGCAAACAACATTCAACAACACTACGTGCACTTTATGATTATCTGATGCAACTGTACGCTAGTATGATCACGATTCATGAAGATTTTAACAACTTGGGTTGCCATCTGTGTCTCTTTGTGTCGACACAAAGTGGCACAACCGCACGTTCCGCTACTTTATTTAATTCAGGTAACGTTACAGATGTCGATACAGTTGGTTATATACAAATGGGTGCGGAAGATTACTATCGAATATTGCCTACTGAACTGAAACATAAATGGTTAAATGAATTTAGAAACAATGGGCAATATATTGTGCATACGTAAGATTGGAGTGTCCTTTTATATTGGGATCAATAATATTGGGTAATATTGGGCTCCTATGTACACTGGATTCCATGTATACTTGATACATTCACGTGTGTTACGTAAACACCTTGTCACTCTTAACGTTTTTCATTTGCTTGCATGATATCTATATATACATTCTGTCATATATACTGCTATTTTTATGAAAGTAAAAGGAGCCTAAACATTCCTGATTACGCTGACGACATGAAGAGAAATTAACTTCTAAAAAATTCTAAGTTTTAAATTATTTTAAGCGTAAGAAAGCTGAATAGCGAGAACTTTATTTTATTTCAGGTTACTTTGTTTGTCAGAATATCATGTATCAGATGAAACAAATATGGAGAGTATATAAACGGATAACAGAGTTGGACGATGAAGTTTTTCTCTTGTAATCAAGAGTGAAACGGCATTTTGGCAAGCTTTCGCAACAACTCCTTGACTTGCACTTTGTTTATTCGCTTTTAAAGCATTCAAAACCCTTGCGTGAATGTCCGTCATAGCCCTGTAATTTTGTAAGGACTCGTGTTGTGATATATCAACGGCAACCTTTACAGATTTTTTGGACATGACCGAAAAAAATTAAAATTCGGTTATGTCAGCATGAGATTTGATCGAGATATAAGGATTTTAATTTTTGCTAGTAACAGGCGAAAAACCGGTTTTTCACAACAATGCCTCTGGCGAAGTTATATTCATTTCTACACAAAAACAAATGTTGCTACTATGCTCAGCGTAGTCGATTACCTATAGTCCATGGCATTTTGAGATTCCCAGAGATGTCTGCTCGGAGATAGACACGTGCTCGGGGAAAGCGAGCCCTGCCCGAACGACGATAGCTAGAGAGCCGAGGGGAAAGCTGGTTTTCCAAAGATCCTCTGAAAACCCGATCTCTGGAATTTTTTCAAAAGTTGCTTTCGCTTGTGAAAAGTTCTGCTCAAGTCTTGGCTATTGAACAGCGAAAATCGCAGGTGTCTATCTCGTTCCTATCAAAAGTTATTCAAAAAGCAACCAGCGGTCTGACCATTTGGAACGGATAGTAATCACCAAGCCACATGAAAAAAGGATTTCATCGAACGAAGTTTTTGTTAAGATGCATGCATTGAAAAAAGAATTTAAAATATATTATATTGTACAGGCAGTTAACGAAGCAGCAGTCAAAAACGCGCCATCATTTCAACAGACATTCTGATTCAAATCAACGAACAAATCTTCAATTCATTTTGCAGCATCAGAAAATGACAAAAAATTTTAGACGAACTTTAGCAGCACTTGAGAAACATGCTGAATAAACTGTGGGTAAATGATTTTTTATCAAATAGATGTAGCATATGAAAATAATACAAAAAATTACTTCACACAGTATTCTGAGTGATGAAAAGGAATTTCTATAGCGATAGCCATGCATGGCACTATATAAATCGCCGACTTATTCTGTTCCTTCGGACGCCTCTCCAAAATCAGGATTACACAGCTTCGATAAAGCAGAATATCTAAACACGGCTTACCTCAAGAAATTATAACTGGAGCTTAATATCAGTGAGAGTAATAATCGTCAAACATTTAATCGGGAAAAACGAGTTTCTTCACTAAATTATGTCCACGTTTGATCTCAATGATGTGATACGATTTGATTTATAAGACGAAAGATGAAAACAAACGATCTCTTCTGAACAAGAAGTGTGTGTATTTTCAAATATAACCATTAGAAAATTAGGAGCAAGCTCCGCGCCGGACCACACTTTATAAAACTAAGGTGGTATATGCTATCTACTTGAGTAGTCACATCGCTTTTAAATAGACCTTTTACCACTGTCAACACTTTCCGACTTTCTCTTTTGGTCATCGTAATCGTCACGAAAAAGAAGTTTTCAATAGATATTAAGACAGATATATCGGAAAATATCTTTCAGAATAGGCAAACAAACTTTTCAAGAAAGAGTTAAAGAAGTTTGGGATTTGTGATGTATATAGTCCGAATCAGAACTGGATAGTTTTGTTTAAGAAAACAAAATATGTACACTAATTCGGACAGAATGTAAGAAATTTCTGGTCAGACTTTAAATTTAAAATTTGACCTAATTTGAAGTTTGTCTGCAACATGTATATTAAATATGGCTACAGATCTACTAATTAGTAATACTTTTATTAAATTTTGTCCCTAGTCGACTGCATTTTTTATTTAGATTGATAGGAGCATGTCAAATTAAAATTCTAATTTATTTTATTTTGTATAATTTCGGTTCCTTTGATTCTATTGTGAATACACACATTGGTATATAAAGTACTCCGGGGTAATTAGAGGCACTCTTCGAAAGTTTCGTCCTTTTTTTGCTATTTTTCGGCCGTTTTTGATCGGAAAAAGTTGCTATTGAACACGATGGTAGACCAAACATTTTTCTACACGCTCATGTAAAAATCTTTCAAAAACTCCGACTAATTTTGAGCCAGATCCAAAATGTAAAGACCTCCATCAAAGTGCCTCTAATTACCCCGAAGTACTCTAGTCTATATACTTACAATGTATTTGTTTCTTAACCAACATCTTCATAAGTTCAGATATTTTTCTGTCTTACTCTTTAAAGAATAAACTCAAAAAGGAACAGATTTTATATTTTCATCAAATGTTCGTTTTGTATATACTCAAGGAGGGAGTGCTCACTGTAAACATATTTCGTATTGCACGAACATCGCGAACTAAACTTACGCTAATTAGAAAAGACCCATCTTCATTTTTTGTACTAGTTTAAAGTACGCATTCTATTATTTTTGACGGCTTTCCTTACGCGACTGACTTATATTAATGACTGCTAAGAAATAAACTTTCTTTTTTGCTTCGATATCTATGACCCTCGAGTGTGTTACTTTTCTGTGTACTATGCAAACGTACGACAGAAGAACAAAGAATGTGTGTTTATATATTATTCGACGTGCTTTATTCTTTAATTACGCGCTTTTTTCGCTGCTACAATTACTGTTTCAGAAGATGAATTTCTCTTGCTACAATTAATTCGAAAATTTTCGGTTGAAGAATTGTCTGTACTCGACTATTGTAGAAACAAAATCAATAACTGCAGTTCAACCAAATGACAAGATATTCAGCAAGTAATGGCAAGAAAATTTAACAAAACTTACAGTGATTTTGAAATTACTCTTGCATTGAATAAATTTGCGAGCAATACCAACAACGACAGCATCTACAAATTATGCAAATCATAACAGAAAAAACCGTGCAACGACTACAATGGTTGGTAGTACACCATGGATCTGTGAAACAAAGTTACACCAATGCAAGGTTATTGCCAAGGTTGCTGGTCCATCGCTCAATTATTTTTTGCGACAACGAAGGTGATGGCATCTTAATGGAAGCATCTTTTTTCAATCCAACTGAGATGAAATCCGAGAACAAATCAAGCACGCTAATCGATGCTAAGTTCAGAAATACGACCACTCACATAATTTCCCTTCGCTGAGTACTCATTTGGTTTTTATACATTTTCTCTCTTGTTTACTGAACGACCCTGTTTTTGATTAATTCCAACTATTTTATTATATTTCAGATGTGAATTTGCATCAACAATCTTTTCTCTTGATACAAAAATCAGCCAGCATAAACACACAACGTCGAATTAGTATTCATAATACTCAATATTCGGCCGAAGACTCAACTTTTCTTAACAACATTTATCCTCCACAGAAGTGACAAAGTCGATTCTACACCTTAGTCACAGCCAACCAACTCTTACATACCCTTACCAAAAGAAATCGTTCAAATAGCTCAACGTATTCTGGGTATCAATTCCGTTATCTTCATAAAAACGGACCTCAATCTTCTCAAAGTTCATGGTAATTGTGTCAAAAAAACATTATCAGTTTTGACCCAGTATGGTCTCATCCGTCAACGTCCAATGATTCTTTCTGGGAAAAGAAAATATTCAGCATTTATTAAAATTATTCCTGACGACAACTTAATTGCTGAAACAAATTTCGAAAAACCACTGCACATCTTCGAGACACGCGAGGATTATTACAACAGCTGCCGTACCTTAGCAATAACTACCAAAGGTGTTTTAACAGAAGAAACGTCATTAGAATTATCAGCTCCGCCGTACGATCGAATGCATACTCATTCAAAACCAAGTACAACTTACGATCTAACACGTACACGATCCACTATTACGATGAAAGAGCATTAATTATGTTCCATTGCTTTTCTTTAGAAGACAATTCGAATGGCGAAACGACACTCAACGCTCGTATTTCTAACTTGGGTCCTTCAAAAACAAAAACAACAGAACTAGATTAAACATCGCAGCATACATGAGTTTCATTCGTTCTTTTATTTTTCCATAATGACCGGTGGTTGTCTAGTCAGATGTATTATGGTCAAATATTTTTTATTAAAATACATTCTTCCTTATAAGCCGTGGCGTCTGCCACCTGTTTATCTGAATTATTTCATTTCACTCATGATCAATTCCTTCGGCTCCATTTTTATAAAAAAACCCTTGCTATTCCAATATACGAATATTCTAATCTGTATTTCAGATGTCTATCACCCTGTTCGCTGCTACAATTACTGTTTCAGAAGATGAATTTCTCTTGCTACAATTAATTCGAAAATTTTCGGTTGAAGAATTGTCTGTACTCGACTATTGTAGAAACAAAATCAATAACTGCAGTTCAACCAAATGACAAGATATTCAGCAAGTAATGGCAAGAAAATTTAACAAAACTTACAGTGATTTTGAAATTACTCTTGCATTGAATAAATTTGCGAGCAATTACTCGCTGAACAATTTTCATTCGTATCAAGTTTGTCGTCCTTCAATAACATTTTTCCATTCATAGAAACCTATTTTCGCTGTCAGCAACCGCTATCATTAGTTCGTAAACCACAACAGATAATAATATTT